TAACTCCACCAATACTTTGCCCAGAGTCTTACAAGGCTGACATCAAGGTGTCAGCTGAGCTGCAGTTCTCATCTGTAGCTCAATGTCCTCTTTCAAGCTCATTCAGTCTGTTGTCAAAATTCAGTTCCTATTGGTTGTAGGGCACAGGGTCCTTTTTCTCTGTGGCTGTCAATCTTAACTCCTAAAGGCCATCTGTTCATGGCCTTCTCACAATGTGACAGTTTACTGCTTCTTCTAGGCCAGCAAAATCATGTCTTTCAGGCTTAGAATCCAGTCTCTGACCTTGGAAAGTCCTTGTTAAGGGATTGCCTGATTAAGTTAGGCCTGCCCAGGATGATCTCCCTTTTGATTAACTCCAAGTTGATTGTTTTGGGACTTAATTATGTCCTTAAAATCCCCTAACCTAATCACAGGATGGAGTGAAATGTTCCCACCATACTCTAGGGGACAAGATTGTGCATAATTCTTCCTACTACAATATCAAATTATTTTATTTTTTAAAGTGAAAAAATTAAAATGCTGCAAAAATAATCTAAGCTGATAGGAGTCAGGTGGCAATCCTTTTGTTGGGTGGGGTATACAGAGGGAGTAATGAATGAGGAGGCATCTGTGTTCGGCGAATGTTCTGTAGCTTAACCTCAGAGACAAAAACATAGTGGTGTACTTTGTAAAAACTCATCAGTTGTAGACATAATATTTAAAGACTTTAAAGGTGTTATACTGCAATAAGTTTATATAAACATAAAAAGGTTTTCAGGGGGCTTTCTTTAATTATACACAAGAATGATAGCTAGCATTAAAATTGTGTAAGATGGGCATTGGTAAGTACTTGAAATTAGTTTATGCCCCTAAGCCATTTAAATATCCAGATAAGTTTACATGTATCTTTAATTTGCTTAGAAAGTTTTCTTGTAAAAATAAGATAAATGCAGAGACAGCAGTGTCACTGTATGCATTTGCTGGAATGGACAGGAAATAGAAGACTGATGGGCCTAATCTGATGGGATTGATAAAATCTTTACATCCTTAGCATATAATCTAGGAACACCTTTAAGAAACACAAGGATCTTCTAAGAGAGAGGCCCAGGCATTATTTGCAGAGCTGGCCAGTCCAGATCTAATTCCCTTCTCTACACTCCCATTCTGTTCTAAGCCAAGGAAGTCACACAATTTCATGTTGAATATACAGGAATACATCTCTCCATAAAAATCAGGAAAATATATTACCCAACTTATTGTAATCAACACATACAGAAGTCACATAAATGTGATGTCAGTGAACTGTAGACCAATCTTAACTATATTAATGAAAAAATTAATAAAATTCAATGCTTTATTTAAGAATAAAACATTACTAAACAGACTTGGAAAGTATATTAAAATAAGAACTTAAGATTAAGTGGTTCACCAATGCAAAGATGGTTCAATAGCCCTAAATCTATTATCTAATTTATGATATCAAACTAAGGAGAAAAAAATCATACAAATATCTTAAAAGGTGCTGAAAGACATTTGATAGAATTCACCATTTATGTATGATTGAAAATATTTTTATTAGAATAGGAAGGTTTTGTCCATAAAAGGATAAGATATATCTCAGTCAACCCAGAAGCCAGTATCATGTTTAAATGGGAAAATACTAGTAGCATTTTCATTGAATTTAGGAATGTCATAAGGTTATCATTATTAATACTTTAATATTATTCTGGAGATTCTGTAACAAAAGAAACTAGGGGAACAAAATAAGAGATACATAATTTAAAAGCAGAAGGTAAAATGATTATTTGCTGATGTTGAGTGTAGATATAGAAATAACCTAGAGAAATCTTGACACAAGAAAAGAGAATGTAGTAAGATGAATGGGTATGAAATTAGTATACAGAAATCAATAACTTTTGTATAAACAAGAAGTAGGAATATAAACTGGAAAGATCTTGTTTACAGTAATAGCAAGAACAAATGTACCTAACAGTAAACTTAATAAATACTCAAGATTTATTTGATACAAAGATTAAAATGTTCCTGGAGGTCATGAAAAAGAAATGAACAGCTGAAAAGACAATTCATATCGTAAGTTTGTGATTTTTTATCAAAGTAAGTAGTTTATGAATTTAGCTCAATCGCATAAAAGCACTAACAGATTTTTTTTTGATACATAGACAAGCTGAAGTTAAATTCATAGAGACTATCAGATAAGCATGAAAAGTCAGAATATTGTAGAAAAAGAAGATCAGAATACTCTTCCTACTAATAGTAAAATATGTAAAAAATTATTAAGCACACAAATAAAGTGAGATAATTAAAATAGTGTGGTATTGATACATGAAAGAACAACTCAAGGGAATATAGTAGGATGAAAATAAATACAAGTGCAGAATCCAATATTTGATAAATAGTTGCTGAGGATGGCCTAAAACCAGCAATCTTCTTGCCTTACATAAGAGAGGAAAAGATGGATTATTCACTAAATTATTTCGGATAAGTAGGGAGACATCTAAAAAAAATAAGGTTGGAGCCATAATTGATATTTTACAGTAGTATAATTTCTTGATGTAAATATTTAAATGCAAAAAAAAAGATCAAACAAAAATACTCAATGAAACTGTAAGAAAATTCTATAAACTTTAAAGAAGCTCTTTCTTCTTCCATAAAATAAAAAGTTATAATCACTATATAAAAATAAAAATTGAATGCAACAAAACCCATCATAAACGCTGGGTGTGGTGGTGCATGCCTGTAATCCCAGCATCTAGGGAGGAGGATGGGGAGTTCAAAGCCAGATTCAGCAACAGCAAGATGCTAAGCAACTCAGTGAGACCCTGCCTCTAAATAAAATACAAAATAGGGATGGGGATGTGGCTCAGTGGTTGAGTGCCCCTGAGTTTAATTCCTAGCAATCCCTCTGCTCCGCCCCCCTCAAAAAAAAACATAAAAAAATTTAAGCACAAACAAGAAATTGGAAAAAGCATATTTGTAACAACATAAGAAATGTTCTTTCCTTTTAAATAGAGTTCCTACCTGTCATTAAGAAAATACTAACAAACCAACAAAAAACTGGACAAAGGACAGAACCAACAATACAAGGAAAAGAAACATGAACATCTCTTTAACATATGAAAAGAGGCCCAATTACTTCATTGAAATTTCAACTTTTCTGAGTTTATTGGGTTGGGAAAGGTTAAAATTAGGAAGGCAGGGAACACATTGGTTACTCCACCTTGGTTGTTGGGAATGTGATCTGCACACCAGGATGGGGAATAACCGGGCAATCAATATGAAAGTTCCCAATTTACACATCCTTTGCTCAGGCATTTCCATTTCTGGAATTTATTATCCTACAGATAAATTCATGCATATGCCAAATGGATTAAGTTCTCAGTTAATCAATGTAGCACTGCTGGTGATAACAAGATGTGAAATAACAATCCTTGCATCCTTGGGGACTGGCTGCATAAATTAAGGTACCCTGGAATACAGGGCAGCAATAAAACAAAGGAGAAAACTCTCCCCACCCCACCCCCCGGGGAACTACCACCAAACTACATCCCCAGACACTGAACTACATCCCCAGACCTTTTTATTTATTTATTTATTTTTCATTTTCAGACAAGGTCTCACTTAGTTGTGGAGGCTGGCCTCAAACCAGCGGTCTTCTTGCCTCAGCTTCCTGATTACAGGAGTGCACCAGCTTCACCTGACAGAGAAAGTTCTTTATGTACTAATATGGAATGATCTCCAAGATAAAATTAAAAGTACAAAAAGAAAAAAGAAATGTGTGTGCAGCATGCTACCATGCTACTACTTGTGTAAGAAAAAGAAAGCATATGTAAATTTTCTCTTAATGCATAAACTCTGCCTGGAAGAATGGTCAAGAAACTGATAATAATATCTATCATCAAGATAGAGTCCAGATGCCTTACCGACAAGGATGGGAGGGAGGACTTTCACCTTGTGCCTTTTGTACCCTTTGATTTTAAACCATGTGACTATATTATCTACAAAATATTTGTGACACATGAACTTTTGATAGATGATGTAAAGGATAGAGTGATACCCTAACCTGATCTATGCTTATCCCAAACTTGACTTCAAATAAAGCCTCTTGTTAATATTATAGATATTTGATTGGGAAACAAAAGAAGATAAGTAATTTTGTTTTTACTTGAAAACTAAAGTTCCAAAATAAAAATTGTATAAGAAAATAAAAAAGTAAAAAAAAGAATAAAGAAAAACAGTTGCTTGACAATAGAAATAGTAAGATCATCATTTGTTTCAAGCAATCAACCAACAACTAAATTGTTGCTAAAGGAATATACTAAATCTTTGGCAAGTACAGAAGTGATGAGATAATAAATATAGTTTTTTTTTTTTAGATATTTCCATGTTGTTTGATTATAGTCCTTGATATATTAATTTATAATTTTAAAAAATCAGATTTAAACATAAAAAGTCTACATTTCCATTGGTAACCAAATATATAGAAAAGTGTTTAACCTAGTAATTCAAAAGAAACAAAAAGCTCTATGCATAAAAATTCATTCAACACCATACATGACATATAAATATATTCATCTATAATTTATATATTCATGTATACCTATAAACAAAAGAAAATAATTCATTAAATGACAAGGTATCCACAAAACATTCTAGTCTATTCAATTACATTTATGTAAATCAGATGGTAATTGGCATAATACCTATGGCATAATGCTAATTTTTAAAAAGTTATATTTTATGTACAACTTAGTAAAAACAGTCAATGAGCAAGAAAGGGATGGAATTCTAGTTAACACTTTCAATGTCCTAATTTCAAAATTTTATTTTTTTAAAAAAATTTCAATTTCAAGTTTCTCTATTTTTGTGTTTAATTTGAGAAGCAAGTTTAGAATTTAATTTGAGAAACAAACCAGAGTGATGATGCCTGTTTGCTAACCCAAGCAAGGATAACTAACTGACCATCAGGAACTGTCGACTTCTATACGGAAAGAGCCACTTACTTGCGTCTCCTCCTGGAGAAGGAAGATGGGCCACCTGTTCCAGGGAGGTGCTTCTGAAAGGCTGTGCCAGCTTCTCCAGGGATAGGACATTGTCCCTGTGCAGCACCTTCCCATCAGGGCTGCTAAAGAGGTCCCTGATGTCCTTCCTTTGTTTAGATTCTTGAAGGAAACTTTCAAAAGATTTGTCTTTGAATTTGAGGGAGGAAAAAAGTGAGGCTCCTTTCTTTGGAACCCTAGCAGCATCTGGTAAGGTCTCTTGCAAACTCACTTTCTCCAGGAGTATGGGGACATCTTCCATCTTGCTGCAGGGTGGGGACGCTAGTGCAGGAAATCTCTTAGATGGCCGATTGGGCAAACTATGGGCGCAGAGGGCAGGGTCCGAAGGGCTAAGCCTCGAGAACTGAGCAGCCTCGGAACCCAGGGAGAAGAAAGCAGAGGCCCTGCTTGCCACATGTGTCCCACTGGACTGCTGGTCCCCCTCCTTGTTGGAACTGGTTTTCCGAAGGCTGAATGAGCGAGTACAGGTGTGTGGCTGATCGGTGGGCAAAGTTTTGGATTCTGACTTGGCCCAGGCCTTCTTTCCACCTTCGGAGTTGGGAAAGAAGTTTCCCAGGGACTTTCGGAGGGCATTGGCTATGAGCCGCAGGGGAGACTTAGGTGGGGCACCTTGCTCTGCCGGAGTCCGTACAGCTGGGGCCCGTGTCTCCTCCTGGGCCTCTCTCTGGGCTGGCAGTGTCTGTTTCCATGCCCGAGGGAGGGTCAAGGGGTGGACTGGCTTCAGCACACGGCCTGGTCTATCACCCCCAGGACTGTCCTGGGAAAGTGGTTCCTCAGCCCTGAGGTGCACAGTCTCAGGGATGGAGTCATTCCAATCCAGCAGCATGGTCTTCTGTTCCTGAGTGAGGACTAACTTCTTCAAACCCGACTTCCTCTCCTCTGCCAGCTCTGACCTGCCCTCCTGCTGCCTCCTGGGTCTGATCCTCTCCTCTCTTGGTTCTTTTCCATCCACGAGAGATTGCTCTTGATGTGTGAGGCACCTGTCCTTCTGCCCAATGGGGTATGGGTCTTTGTGGAGGCTCTTGGTACCTCCAAGAGGGGCCTCTGCTTCCTCACAGTCCTCAGAAGCCATCTCCACAGGGCTTGTGACACTGTCTCCTCCGGGGCTCACCAGGCAGTATTCTGCCCGCTCCAGCACGGCACCATGAGGCAGATAGAGGGGAGTTTCCATGGGTGTTCCTTGGGCTCTGGCTCGTCTCAGAAAGATTGGGGTAGATGGACTGGAGTGACCTCTGGAGACCTGTGAATGGGGATTGTAAGCTGCCACCTAGAGGGGATGGGCAGAAATGGCAGTTAGCTAATAATTTACAGCATTTATTTATATGGAGGAGGCAAATCCCAACCCACACTCTACTTCCTTTTTTTTCTCCAGATCTCAGATACCAAAGTCAAAAATGGTTTTGCCTCAGAGGATTTCATGGGGCTGCTCTTTGTTCTAAGAGGGTTCTTGGAACCTGTTGAGATCTACCTGGAGCCCCTAAATCCATACTGATTAAAGGCCATTCTGGGTCCTAGATTGGGTGGGTAGGAAGCCAGAAGGGAAGACCAATGTGTGTCTGCTGCCCTTGATGAGCTCCTAGGCCAGTGAGCACAGGGATGGCTGGCCCCAAGGATGGCCAGGCACATGGCAGAAGGCGAGAACCCCGTCATCTCCAAAGGAGATGCCCAAACGTGGTCCTACCGAATGGCCTCCTTTACCCAGGTATGTTCCTCTAACAATCACAAGACCAAGGTTTCTTTGTTGGAGGCTTTTGAGGTGAGAAAGTGACAGTTACCTTTCTGCTGTGGTGGCAAAAGTGTGAGCTTTAGTACCTTTCAGTGACCCTTCTAAATTTCACACCTTGTACCACGGAGAAAAGTAGCCACTTCCAGCATGGAGGAACTTGGCCCTTGGCAAAGGGAGAATATAAGTAGACTCTGCAATGAGTGGCTGTGCCTTGCAGTTCAGAGAACTGGGGCCTTCACAAGAGCATTCATTATTTCTGTCTTGTGCACTTGACTTCCTAGAACCTACAACAGGGCTGGCAGGCACAGAGGCTTGACAATTGCCTATGGAAAGAAAGAGTCCAGCCATGCTTGTCAAAAATGACATTTCCTATACAAGAAGGATGTTGCTTCCAAGGTCCTTAGATGCTAGCAAAGGCTCCCTCTGTGTCTGTTCCTTTAGTTGTGAGCTCCTTAATACCCTCTGTGAGTTCTCAAGGGCAGAGCACCCGTCCCAGCATCTCTGCATCCCATGGTGCAATGCTTGGTACAAAGTCCACCCCTCAAGAGGTTTCTGAGGGAGGGTGTCTGTGTCCTTGGAGTGGATGAGCTTTCATGAAAGGCACTTGTGAAGAAGGCCTGGAGTGGACCGTTGACAAGTTTTTCTCTGGCCCTGGCCTTGCACTAGGGGGCACTTAAGAGCACACAGCATCCAGAGTCAAGTGTGGAAGGCGGGAGGAGCTCACCTTCCTAGGCCTGTGCGGGGGGGCCCTTGGCTGTACTCACCTGAGATGGGGAGGAGTCATCTGGGGTATGCCCAGGGACACTGGCTGAAGAAGAAGACGATGGTGGGGAAGATGAAGGAGAAGACCAGGAAGAAAGAGGAAGAGGAGAAGGCTCCTTTGGAGATGACAGGGTTCTTTTGTTCATTGGCTGCAAATCTACCGAGGAAAGAACATTCTCTGTTACAGAGCTGTTGTGAAAGAGCTTGCAAAAAGACGAGGCTTGCAGTGAGGCTCCTGTTCTACAGGCAGAGCCAAGAAGAGGAAGGGTTGGAGACTGACTCAGAGGTTCCTGGTGGCCACATCTTGGGAATTGGAGGAATGGGACCCAGAAAGGCAGAGGAGCCCTGGGGACAAAGGGAACCCCAAGATGAAAAGTCAAAGGACCACCGTGTTTCAAACTCCTGAGGTTGTTCCCGAGGCAGGTGACCTAGACTTTTCAGAGTGCTTATTGGAAATAGACATCTACCCTTAAGTTTCCCTAAAGCTCTGTTGGTTAAGAGCTGGGGCTACATTAAGTCATTCATCAATAAACCATCTGAGGTTTCTGCCCACGAGGTGCTGAAGCATTAGCCGTGGCACACACGGGGTAGACATTCACGACTAATGGAAGAGCACCCAAGGGGCTCTCAGACAGGTGGCCAGGCTGTGCCATCAAGGGAACACAAGGGAGGGAGGTTACAGCCATATCAAATCATCTGAAGCACACAGAGTGAGATCTATGCCAAGCTTCTGTTGGTCAGGGAACAAACAGGAAAGCAGTGTATCTGCTCAGAGATGCGTGAGAAAGGAGCATGGCTGGGCCCGGGGAGGAGCTTAATTCCCACTGTGGACAGCTGACATCATCTGGTCTCATGAGAGCAGATGGTGACAGTTGTAGCCTAGAAGTTCTTCCACGCTCACATGTGCTTCTCTCCCCCGCTACCCCCTTGAGGATAGTAGTCTTAAATCTGAAATCTCAAGTATTTTATCTCCATATTGAACTATTTCAGACAAGCTGCACTCAAATAGTTTCTGAATGCCACGCAGTCTGCCGATGTGCCCCTCATTACTGGGTTCTTACACACCCAGCTCTCCCATGAACCGTGGGAGCACATATGGGTGTCCCCCAGACACCCCCCAGGACTGCTGCCTACTGGTCACTCCCATGTCTCGCTGCCTGCTTATGGCTGCTCAGATGACCCATGGAGATTTCCCTCTGAGGTGTCCAGGCTTTGGATTTTAGCTCCCTTCTTAGCTCAACCCAAGGCCCAGTTTCCTCAAAGCTCTGGGTGAGAAGCTCCTCCTCAGGGACCCACACAGCCCAGGTCATACCTAACCATCCCCATGAGTTCCAGCCAGTCCCATTCTTACAGCGGAAGTGGCCACGGGGCTGAACGTTCAGTAATCTGCCCTTCTTTCCTCACACGCGAACGCAAGCATGTCAGATGGCGTACCCCAGATTTGGGTTCTGAAAAGATGGCTACCCCCCACACACGGTCGACAAGCCCCCAAAGGGGAGGCTTCCAAAAAGCTTCCAAGGGAACAGGTAACCCCAGGGGAGAGAGCTGATGTGAGGGTGGGCAAGAAGGAGCTGTTGGGAGACAGGCCATGGGCTTCCAGGAGCTGGCGCAGGGCAGGCGGCTGGCCTGCCTCCCTTCACCGGCACCCCCACCTCAGCCCACAACGAGATGGTTCGAGCCTAAAAAGGCAAAAGTCGTGAGTCAGTTGTTGCCTTGCTTCCTGTCCTCAGCTTGCCAAATTCCTGCCAGATTCCTTCTCCCCCTCTCCCTCGCCCCCTCACTCTCCTCTCCCTGCCATCTTCTGAATCCAACTCCTTAATTTGTTTCAAAAGTTGTCTTGGCTCCACACACTGCCTTTTTGTTCCTCCATGGAGTCTCAGGGGACCTTATGACACACAGTCAGGGACACCTGGGGACACGAGCCCAGCAGAAAAGCCTTGGGGTTCACAAGGTCGTGACCTGGAAGCTGCTCCCCGCTCCTTTCTCTAATTCCCAGCCCACCTGGCCAGTGGGGTCTCTCTCCATTCATGGTCCTCACGCCCTGTATTAGAGGTAGAGCTTGGGGAGGGCTTGAGGAGTTGGGGAGCAGGGCTCCCGTGTAGGCCAACCCTGGTCCCTGGGCTGCCATTCAAGCCAAGCTGAGTGATGATGGGAAATGTCACCTGCTGGAGACTGGTTATGCCTTTGAGTTCACTCAGAACATGGTCAAGGGGAGCCTGGGACCTCACCCCTTCACACTCACAGCAGCTGCTGGACACTGACCCCCAGCTTCCTCAAGTCTAGCACTGCTTCAGGGGATGGTTGAGGGAATAAATGGGTCACAAAAAAGTGCCGGGCAGTATAGGACACAAATGCTTCATGTTAGCTACATATGAGTTCCATCCCTGTCCCCTTCTCTCATGCCTCAGATGGTGTCTTGTAAAGACATGGCTGAAGCCCTGGCCCTTTCCAGAGGGAGCCATGCACCCATCCCAGCCACAATTTCTCCAGCTCTTCATGTTTCCTCATTTGCCAATTCAGACCCCCCTCTCTGGTTCTTTCCTGGAATCTTGGCTCCCTTGCCCTCTGCAGATTCTTGGTCCTGGGTGCTACTGCCCCTTAGGGTCCCTTTGTGCAAAAGGGGTTGTTGAGCAAGCCAGAGCCTGAATCACAGCTTCTGATACCCTGGATCAAAAGCCACGTTACCTCCTCTTGAGCCCTCTGACCAGAGTGACCTTTTTCCGGAATCCTAGAGGACATTCTGGCATCATGGTCATTTGGAGAGAGTGTCCTATGTTTTTTTCCTATTACAAAAAAGATGGCTCTAGTGGCTTTCAGCTTGGGATTTTTTTTTTTTTTTTTTTTTTTTATGAGGACTGAGATTTCAGGGTGCAGCTTCCCAGAATTTGGAGGCTATGAATGCCTCAAATCCCTCTCAAAGTCTGGGAGCGCCCTCTAGGGGCTTCAGCCGGAAAAACCTGAAGCCCTGTGCTTTGCACTGAGTCTCACCAGCTCCATGGTTCATTCATTCATTCAGCAGGGCTGAGGGCATGGCTCAGTGGTGGGGTGCTTGCCTAGCATGTGCAAGGCCCTGGATTCCATCCCCAGAATCTTCCCCATGCAAAAAAAGCATCCATTCACTGAGAAAACAAGGAACAGGTATCTCTTCTGGGCCAGACCATATAATATATATACGCCCACCTAATAATTCCAACTCAAGTGCTTCCCTCAAACCAGCTTTTCTGTACATGAAAATCAGCACTTGATACTCTTCGGTTACTGACGATTGAGTCCCTAGGTCCATGCCAGGCACCTCGCTGCTGTGTGTCAGTCCTTTCTCTGTCCTGTGCCTCCTCCAGCACCTTGACACTGCTGTGTCTCCACCAGTCCCCTGGCTCTCACCCAGGCTAGGAACTCCCTGAGGGCACAACTGAGCCCCTCATAGTGGTGGCACTCAGAAGCATTGGAATGGACTCTACACCCATGTGGACCTGCCCAAGAGAAGGATCCCAGTGCCCTCCGAGGGGTTGGGGGCCAGGAATGAGAGGAGGACATGTGGAAGGCTTTAATTCCCTCCACCCTCTTGCTCTCACTGCCTTGGGCACTGTCAGTAATTCAAGCGTCATTTTAGATTGTCCCCAGATGAAGCAGCTTGCACAAATGTGTAGTCCTGGTCTAGCTCCAAAGGTGGCCCCTGTCCCAGTCTGACCCAGTGAGGTCTGGTGGGTCTTGGGGTTGCTGGAGAGTGACTCACTGGCTAGGAGTCAGTATTGACTCAGAAGGAAGGAGCTAGGGCTCCCTTCCAAGTACGATGTTTCATTATGTAAACCTTGCCAGACCCAAGGCCTTCCTGCACCTCCTCTCCTAGGCGAGCCTGGAGAGGGAATGTGGCACAGGGGGAGAGGAAGGCAGCAATGGAATGGATGAGTCCCAGCCTCTTGCTCAGGGCCTCTGAAGGGAGTTCCTGCTTTGTCCCTGCTGTGGCTGGGATTGTGGGCCAGCTTGCGATGCAACTGTGTGTGTGGCCACTGCGCCCCCTGGTGGGGTCCCTCGCCTTCATCCATCTCTGCTCTTCCTTGGGACCAAGATGCTCAGAAAAAGGAGTAGGGCTGTGTGTGTGTGTGTGTGTGTGTGTGTGTGTGTGTGTCTGTGTTGCTTCCTTTCTTGCTCTGCCCACAATTTGCCTGGAGTCAAAATGCTGACAACTCCCATGCACAGAATCAAATCATATAACATCCGTGGGCCTCAGTATCTCCACTAAGCCTGCTTCTGGGTGAAATTTTGGAATCTCAAGTCTCCCTGATTCTAGAGTAGGGGGCAGAGAGGGATAGGGCCAGTCCCAAATCCCTTGGAGAATTCTTCCTTTAGTCCACAGTGGAAATCAGGTCAACTTCATGTTGTTTTTTTGCCCCTCACGTCCTGGAGGCCATGGCAGAGAAGACAGGCACCATGTAAGGAAAGAGAGAGAGCCACTGCCTGGGAATCAACCCCTGCCCAGCCCAGTCCAGCCCACCCAACCCACAGAGAGCTTTCGATATGACTCACTGGACTGGAATCTTCTTCTCCAGTTCTGGTGTTTGCTTGGAGTTGGAGCCTGGAAGCTATTGGCCCGTTGCAAAGCTGTGGTGAGAAAGAAAAAGAGAGCAAGAGTCCATCAGATGTGTAGAGGGGATACTCCTCTAGCCCATTTACCCCAAATTAGCAGACAGGTGGCTCTAACTGACGGAAACTTTCCTTTCCCCACACCACACTTCCCTGCCCCCAAACCCCATTTGTCATTCATCCACTCATTACATATTCATTGAGAACCGGCTTCAGGGCAGGCACTGCCCCCTGTCAGAGAATGCCTCCAAATATGAGCCATCTTTCTGTGTCACTGATGGTTAATAAGCCCTCTTTAATGCATGTGTAGAAACATATACACAAAAACATGCCTCCCCGTGTGTGGATGAGCACACCTACATTCATTCATTTATATCAGAGCTGGCCTTTACAGCTGAGGCCTCACGTCAATGTTCCGTAGATGTAATAGGACACTGGAGCTCCTCTGCAACCAGGAAGCTGCAGAAAGTTCTAGCCCCTGCCTTCCCTTTTCTCCCAGAGCCCCCCAAGTCCAGGAAACCAGTTTTAATGGAACCTCTGGGCAAGCCATTGCCGTGACCCCTTGACCCCCTTCTTGTGGCATGGTTCCAATGGAAACACGTCTGCAGTACACGGTGTCCTTCCTACTGAAGACCTACTGCTTAGCTGGGCCTTGAGAACCAGCTGAGAAAAATGAACACTGCATGCAGAAGGAAAGGGGTCTTGGCCATTTGGGGCATGAAAGTGGGCAGAGGGGATCTAAGTGGACCCAGTTCCCACATAGGACCTCCAGATTCTGTCTCAGGTATTTCCATCACAGCCAAAGAGAAAGAATGGGCTCAATGCCCATCCAGAGACTCACAAAGCTGGTCTTTGGGCATGAGAGGAAAGGAAGGGGGTGGAAAGGATTTGGGGATGGGAAGATGGCGGCAGGGAAAGTTTGAATATAGACCTTTCTGGATCCAAGGCCCAGCCAGTATGTGGGCATGTGTGTGCTTTGCCCACAATTGCCTGGAGTCAAAAAACTGACAACTCCCATGCACAGAATCAAATCATATAACATCTGTGGGCCTCAGTTTCCTTATTCATGTTCCAACAAGCTTGGAATCCATCACTGCTAAGCCAATGATGGACAGTCATCATCTCTCCAGTCTTAGACATTCTACTCCCTACCAGTTCAGGGTTGGACCTCAGCGCTTTCTTACAAGCCAGGTTGTGGAGCACAGGTGTGAGCCACTACCTTGGGGCTTCCTTTTCTCAGGTCAAGTTCCTTGGGCTCCTTAGACCCTTGGCTCCTCTCCCTCCCTTTCCCCATTTGGAAATGCTTTGTGTCTCCTCTCTCTAGTAGGATTCCAATCCCACAGGCTTGCCCTCAAAATCAAATCCATGGATCTGAGGTGGAGCCAGTGTGGATGGATGGTGAATAACCCCCACACCCCATTACCAGATGGTACTCAAAGTGCAGCCACTTAGTTTGCCAGATTGGATGTTTTACATGAGGAGCAAGCAAGTTAAGCACAGTTGCATCCTGCAGACCCCTAACCAAGAGACCACCCAAGAAAAATATAAGACTTCTTATGTTAGCCCTTCATTGTTGTGACCAAAATGCCTGACAAGAACAGCTTAGAGGAGGAGAGATTTATTTTGGCTCATAATCAGCTGGCTGCAAGACAGAAACACAATGGCAGAAGGGCATGGTGAAGAAAGCTGTTCAGTTCATGGCAACTAGGAAGGAGAGAGAGGCCAAAGGCACACCCCCTGTGACTTACTTCCTCCAAACATACCCTATCTGCTTACAGTTCCTATCTAGCAGTCCATTCAAATTATTAAATCTTCAAGTGGATTAATCCACCAATGAGGTTAGAATCCATCATTACCTAAAGCCCCACTTGTGGACCTTGCTGCAATTCCTTCAACACATGAGCTGTTCGGGGACATTCCCAGCCACGACTTAAAAGCTCTGACTGCTTCTCTTCTACTATTAACATTGTGGAATGGAACCTATTGGAGATGACTAAAATTAGGGGATGTAGCTCAGTGGTAGAGCAATTGTCTAGCAATTGTCTTGAGTTCAATCCCTAGAACTGAATACTAAAAAGGAAAAAAAAAAGGAAAGGGATAAGATTAATGAGAGATTTCCCAACACTACTATTTATGAGACAAACATGCACATATTTTTTACCACAATGGAAACAATGAGTGTGAATGGCATTGACTAGTTCTAGTAGCTCTAAGCAGCATAAAGAACGGCTAGTTCTCTTCTTTTTAGCTTATGTTTTATGTGTGCTTAATGTTTGCATATAGTTCTTATTTTAAAGGAGCACTTTAATTTGGGGGATTTCAGTGTATGATCTGCAAAAGGAGTAAGAGGGTGAGAATTTTGCCATATGGTGCTGATGATCTCATTATTGTTACAAACTAGTGGTGTCCTCCATATGCCATTGGACCATCCTGTTATCAGATTATTGCCAGGAAAAAAAATGGATAAATACCAATTCTTCTATGCCAAAATAATTTGGGGGCAGATTGCCCTCCTAAATCAACTTGGTTTCTATCCAAAAATCCAATGCACTAGATCCATCCGTTGAGTTGCTTGGGCATGCATTTCCCAATTAATTTATCCAGGCAGGCCCCCAGGAAGCCGCTTTTCTGTGATTCCCAAAGTATGGGTCAGGCCCACCTGCATCCATGTACCTGGGTTGCTTATACCAAATGCAGATACTGTCCCATTTTAGACCCATGGAATTTGATTTTCTGATGGTGAGGATCCAGGGATATGCCTTCTAGACAAAATTTATATGAATCACTGGACTAAATTATTATAGTTTGGATTTTAAATGGCCCCCCAAAGTCCAATATGTTTAAGGCTTGGTCCCCAGGCTGTGGTGCTATTGGGAGGTGGTGGAATGTTTAGGAGATGGTGCCTAATGGAAGGAGGTCAGGTTACTGGGGGGGTGTGCCCTTGAAGGAGTTATTGGGACTGTGGCTTCTTCCTCTTTTTCATTTTGCTTCCCAGTTGCCACTAGGTGAGCATTTTCCTCTGCCATGTGCTCTCGCCATGATGTTCTGCCTTACCACAGGACCAAAAGCAACAGGGCCAAGCAACAAGTCACCTCAGAAACCATGAGCCCAAATCAATCTTTTCTCTTTTTAAGTTGTTTATCTCAGGTATTTCGTCACAGCAATGGAAATCAGATTAATACCACAGATGTTTTAGGGGAATGTTTTCTATGGTTTTCATAACACAGGGTGTATGTAAGTTGTGTTTCACGCCATCTCCTTGGGCAGGCCCTGTAAAAGAACTTGGTGGGTATGAGAGCTTCCTTGACCAGCTGAGGTGATCCTGGAAATCTCTTGTTAAATGGCGGCAAAATGTACATAACATAAAAAATACCAATTCTTAAACATTTACTAATGTGTTGTACAACTCAGGAACAACCAAATGGAAGTGATACTTCAACAAAGGGATGGGGAAGGCTTACATGCCCCCTCAGGCCCACCACTCTCCCAGGACCTCTATTTGTTCATCAATCCCAAAGCTCTTCCAAGCTGTTTTGCTGTTTAGTTAAAAAAAAAGTAGATAGCATATAATTCAGTGGCATTAAGTACATCTACATTCCGAACAACCATCACCACTATCCATTTCCAAAACTTTTCTCTCACCCCAAACAAACCCTTTTTTATGACTGGCTTATTGCACTTAGTGTATGTCCTCAGGGATTATCCATATTGTACTATATATCAGATTTTTGTTCCCTTTTCAGGTTGAATAACATTGCTTTGAATGGATGTGCTGCGTTTTGTTTATCCATTCATCTGGAGATGGCTCTTGGTTTATTTCTCTCTTTTGGCTTTGAGCATGAGTGCACAAACCAGGAATCTTTCAAAAGCAATATCCTGGTCTTGTCTGGTCTTCTCTGAATCCGACTTAAAGGCATTTATCCAGGGGAGAATCCAGGTGAGTTCAATAACATCCACTCATGATGTCAACCCTACATTATCTGGGAAAGTGTTGAGCTTCTTATATCAGCATTAAGAGTAACGTTAGAGATGCTAACCTTAACCATTGCGTCCGGCCTATCGGTGATCGAAACCATAATTGATGAAAACGAAGTCAACAAAGGATTGTCTAACATTCCTCTATCCACCCCTCTGTGTTCTTGGTATTTTATTCTAGAGTTAAGTTAGACTGTCAGAAACAAAATGCTTTGGCCAACTGCCTTAGTCTCTTAAACCAAAGTCCATGACTCACTGTCTTACCCTAACCTGCCAGCAGGGGGAACTATGAGAAACAACCTTAAGAAAACTATGGCTAAATTTTCTGAGGACTCATTAAGATATGAGCTAAAACAGTTCTTGATATCATCTATTTGACATGAGCAGAAACTTTCTATAGAGTTCAACATTAATAAAAGTTGTGTCTACTCTTGATAACTATGTAAACCAGTATATATTTTTCTCTTGGACAAGGAGAACAATTGTGTGTGTTCCCTTTTTAATACTGTCTGTTTAGAACTATGTTCTCTCTCTCTGGAAAATTTTACTTTCTAAATTGGCTTTGTTATGCTTGACTCTGAGGCTTCGTTTGTCATGTATAGAGTCATAACTTTGTATTACGTCTTTCTCATAAGTGGCCTAAAATCCCATGACTGTTGAGGAGAGAGGAGAAACAAAAGGAAAAAAAAAAAAGAAAGACAGGCAGGCTCTGGATCTGCAAGTGGGAGGCTGGAGCCCAGGGAGACGGAAGGGGTGGGGAGTTAGTGGTAACCAGAGGCAAGGCAGGACGCTCTGGGTACAGGACAGTACTCAGTTCAATGCCTGTGCTCAGCTTTTCATACTACAAATGGTACTTTAAAAATGTATTTTGGTGACAACATCCATTTTTCTTAAAAAAAAAAAAGAGATCCACATGGAAGGGGAAGTTCAAAGTTAAAAATATCTGCATCTATTCTCTTTGGCTCCAATCCTTCTTCCTGGGAAACCAGGGCTTCTGAGGACCAGGTGGAAATTTTACTCTTGGCCACCAGAGGGCGGTGCAAGTCAAGTTTGGTGTCCAGCAGAAAAGGCTATTTATTGGTCCTAAAGGAAGGAGGCAAGTTTGTTGGCCTGTTTCTTCCTTGGCTCTCCTTCCTGCAAGTCAGATGACTTGGTCACAGGTTGATGTTGACTGAACCAAAACACTCAATTCTGGGTCACCTTTATGAATTAAAACAAACTGGGTTGCTAAAGACAACTTGTTCTAAGTAGGCCAGAGTTTGGAGGGTGGTCCCCCATCACCTGTTCTCAATCCTCTGGAGAGGAGACCAGGGGAGAGCTCCTGGTCTTTTTCTACCTGAAAACTGGGCTTTATATAATTTACCTACATACAGGGCCCACCTAGGATAAAATGGGGCCATGGGTAGGAAAATTCCAGGTGCTCACTGAAGATTCACTTATTATTGTGTAGGCACAGTTTGGGTGCATTTCATGAGCCCCATGCCCCAGGAATGGCCCCTGTGGTGTCCCACAGCAGCTGGTCCCACGTCCTTTCCTTTAGGGGTTAAAGGTTGTTGGAGGAACCTCTGAGGCAATATCCACACAGGTTACAGCAGAGAAGCTGTTCCAGGTAGGAGGGAACTGGGTCCCCCTTATCTCTGCCAGCCGGTGACATCCAACAGGGGATCAGGCCCCTCTGATGTTTTCCCACTTGGGACTTCAAAGCTGGAGAAGCACGCCAGCCCTGGTGCAGACCCCCCAGCCTCACTCGAACCTCCCTCCTCAAAGCTCCCACCCTGTGAGTGCCACAGTCACCTGGCCTCCAGGAGGAAAGGCAGGCCATGAGGGTCCCACTCCCTCCCAGGGTTCCAGAGTGAAGCACGGTGCACCCTTTGCTCACCGTGTGCAGCTTGCAGCTCCTCCAGGCACTGCGGAGAGTCTGCCCTGGTCAGAGGCTCCCTCAGGGAGATGTGCCGGGTAAGGGGCTTCTGTAGAGGTGGGGATTCTGGCTGCCAGGCTCTCCCTTCACAGGGCTTCGCACTGGAGGCCTCGCTGCTGCCATAGTCAGATTCTGCATCGGAGCTGGAAGGAGGAGGGAGGGAGTGGGTGAGCTGGAAGCCCTGGAACCCACCCCCTGCACACACCCACACCGCGCCCTTCCCATCCCTGCCTCCTGCAGACCTTGCAATCAATAGGGGGTTTAGTTCATCTGTGCCCAGTCCCCAGCCTTGGACTGCACCACAGTCTGAGGTCTGAAATCCCCGATTCCTCTGTTGAATTCTTAACCTCCAGAACCTCAGAATGTGACTGCATTTAGAGACAGGGTCATTAAAGAGGTAACTAAGTTAAAATGGGGTTATTAGGTAGGCCCCCATCCTATATGACTGGTGGCCTCATAAGAACAGGGAATTTGGGCATAGAACGTGTGTGCACTAGGAAAACGCCACCATGTGATCAGGAGATGGCCATCAACGAGCCCAGGAGAGAGGCCTGGAACAGATGCGTCCCTCCAGCCCTAATTGGAGCCAACCCTGCCAGCGCCTTGATCTCAGACCTCCATCCCACAGAACTGTGAGAAGGGAAGTTTCTATTGCTTAAGTCACCTGGGCTGTGGTACTTTGTGACACAAAGCTGACTGATATAAGCTTGGATCAGAGCAGGAGAAGGCTCCCAGCAAATGGCTGACCCACAACTCACATAAAGTAGGGGGTGTCTCACCGTCTCCCAGCCCTGAGCACAGCTCCTGAGCTCTCGGGGCCAAAGGAGCTCGTCTACAGGAACTTGATCCTAAAACTTCAGACCCTGAAATGCTGCTTTCCTTCCCCCAGAATGGGGGGGTGGGGGTGGGGAGTAGAAAAGCCTCTCTGGCATTTGGGGACGTGGTATTTAACGTGGCAGGAATTTAAGTGGTAGAGAAGTGGAGGCAAAGTGTTGTGGGCAGAGGAGACAGCCAGAGCCCAAGCCTGGGGTGGGGAGGGCATGAGACATTTTAGTGAAGCTAAATATCCTTCCTGTCTATCTATCTATGGATCTATATGAATCTATTGTCCATCCATCCATCCAGCATGGTTCTTCCACTAGGTCACTGCCCATTGTCTACCTGTGTGCCTAGTGGACCCTTCCTAGTGCCCAGGCCTGCCTAGGCCTGGCACCCCATCCTGTGCACTGGTCAGTCCCAGAGGTGGGTGTATGACCTGGGTAACACCAAGTGGGGGCTTCCCTGGATCCTGTTCTGTGACATTATTTATGGATATGGGCTGAAGCCCTCTGTAGTGAGGGTTGCACAGGTGGGGACAGCCTCTCTGTGGATTGCTGCAGGGCTGACCTGTGAAGAGGCAGCAAGGGACAGCTACTGTGAGTCTCTGGCTTCAACATCACCTCCTCAAGGTGGCCTGAAGTGAGGACCACCCTTGGACTTCCTGGCCCACACCAGCCAATACGTCTGCCTTTGTTACCAAAGCTGCCTTGAACCGGGTGTCTGCCTCTTACCATGGGGATGGTCCTAGGTGAGCCTAGAGGACTAGAAGGCTGTGTGACCTTGGGCAGGTGCCTTCTCCCCTCTGGGCCCTGGTTTTCTATCTTAATGACTACTAAGGGCACTCTCGGGGAGTGGTTTTCACGCAGATGTGCACATCAGAATCAACTGTGACACTTGCTGAAGCGTGGGCAGGCCCCTTTCCAGAGTCTAAATGATCAAGACTTAATAAGTTAGATGTCCGTGACCATTGCCTCCATTTTTTTCCCTCCTGTTGTCCCCCCCACGTTCTTCAATTAGGCCTCTGCCCACTGATTCCACGGAGACCACGTTGTGGATGTTAATGAGGACTTTCCTGTTGGAAAGCCCCAAACTCCCTTCTCTGTGCTGTTGACTGGACTCCACAGCTTCCCAAGGTAGCAAACCACGCCGTCCTTCAGGGCCCGTGCTCTGCCACTGAGCCACCCTTGTCCTCAGATCCCTTTTTGAAACACTCTCTCCTCTTGCACTCCTTAACTGCCCCATCTTGGTTTCCCTCCTCTCCAGTGGGCTTTGCTCACTCTTTCCCTGCTTGCTTTCTGAATGGGCAAATGCCCTGGGGCTCTATTCCAGGCCCTGCTCCCCTTTATCAACAGGAGGATAATCTTACTCCATTCAGGACCCCTCAAGTCCTTTGGTTTAGTGGATTCTGAACTCCCCATCTTCAGTCCTGTTTCCCTGAAAGTTCAGATGTTAGACTGGCATGCTGGACTGCTAACTTGATATCTGCACAAAGATGTGGGCAACTCAAACCCTAGGGGTCCAGGATTGAACTCTTGGTTTTCCCCATGACCTATATCCCCTGAAATCCTTCTCACCTCAGGAGATGATCATACTATCCGTTCAGTGATGGAGTCAAAACCTGGGAGTTGCCCTTGAACTCTTCTTCCCTCAGGTTCAGCCAATCAGCAAACCCATCCCGCTGTTCCACCAGTCCCTGATCTCCCTGCCTTTGCTCTGCTCCACCTGACCATCCACTCCCCGCACCAGGGCCTGCCGATTTTCAAGAATTGTGACTGAGACGTCACTCTTCAACTTGAAAACTCTCTTTCAATTATCTCTGGCTTAGAATGCAACCCTTCCCAGGCTCCCTGCGCCCCACTCCTGCCTTCCTTCCAAGACCTCTCCTCCATCAGGCTCACTCCCACCCCAGGGCCTGTGCACTAGCTGTTGTCATGGCTGGACTGCCCTTCTTCCTTGACCATTCCTTCCTAACCCCTTTTCAGCTTCAATGTCACCTCCTCAAGCAGGCCATGGTAGGTGCTCTGCAAAAATGGCTGCCATCCTTCTCTTTGGAGCCACACTCCTCTGCAATAGGACTTTGCAGCTCTTCTTATAAAGGGTGAAACCTACTTCCTGGCTCCTTGAATCTGGGCTGACCATGTGACTTGCGGTAGCCAATCAGATGCCATGGGAACAGTACTGGGCAGGGCCAAACCTGGGTCTCCAGAAACCTTGTGCTGCTCTCCTTTTGAGCTAACCTCACTTGCTGGATGGAGGATGAAGACTCTGGGCACAGTCACCCTCTGTCACCACAGCTGACAGCCAACTCTACTGTAGAAGAATTCTGCTGGGCCAGGTCACCAAGGCCAGGGCTGTCCCCAGGGCCTGCTGAGCTGCTGGCCCCCACAGTCGAGGATGTAATAAACGGGGTTAAGTCACTCACTCAGGGCTGGCTTGTTACCAAGCATGATTTGGGCAGTCAGTAAGGACACAGAGGTCTTATCTGGCCGCCCAATCTAAAAGCTGACTCGTGGCTCTCTACCATGTGCTCCTACTTTGCTTCTCTACCTGGTGCATGTTTTATTTTCCCCATTAATGCTTCCTTGTTTGCTGGCTATCTGCCCAACCTGAAAAAAGAGGTGAGAGCAAGGATTTTGCATGGGGTTGGTCACTGCCCTGTGCTGGGTCTAGTAGATGACAGGCAGCCGATACTTCTTGTTGCTTGAGCTCCTGAATGATGTGGGTGTGTCTGTGGGTGTGTCTGTGGGCAAGGCCTGGAGTCTGCACTTCTCATTACCACTCTGGGTGGGGATCTGATGCAGGAGGTGAGATGACACCCTCAGAAACAGTCATCAAGTCACCAGGCTTCATTTCCCCTGCTGGCTTCCCCATCACCATGCACTGTGCTCTCAGGGTGGGAGGGCCCCAGGAGCCCCTCCCTGTGACAGGTAATGCCCATCTGCAGCCCTTGCTGCAGATCATGTGACAGTCACCTCCTGGGAGACAACTGTGATGCCAGGGCCTTTCCCTTCCCCGAGAAAATAATTGCTGACATTTTCAGGGTTTTTTACACCCTGAGCCTTGTTCCATACACTTCCACATGCTAATGTTTTGATCCTTACAACTCCTTCTGAGACAGGCGCTATGATTGTCCCCATTTGACTGATGAGGAAACTGATGCCCAGAGAAGTCCTTCTGCAAGTGAGTGGAGAGGCCAGATCCCAAATGTTGCTCCTCCTCCAACCCTGGTGTGGTCCCCATCCTGCAGCCGCCTGGGCATACCTGCTGTCCTCGCTGGTGACCAGGACACGCACGGCCAACACGTCCTGCCCAACCCCGTCCTCCCCAGGGCTGATCCTCACAGAGGTCCACTCGGAGGGCAGGGGAGAGGTGGCTCCTCCTCCTGTATCACCGGGCTCTGGCTCAGGGACACTCTTCGGCTTCTTGGGGGAGATGGGCTCATCTGCTGAGAGAACAGGCTCTAGAGAGATGGTGGCATGGTGACTCTAGAAGGGCACCCGCTCCTCAGGGGTCTGGGCGGGATTCTGGAAGGGTGCAGGCCTCGGTCTACACAGGAGCTCTGAGACCCACCTCTGAGAGCGGCTCTGCCTTTGCTGGAGCCCATCCCTCTGCCCAGCAGATGTACAGCATTTCGGGCATGGACACATTCCTCATCCCATTTAATGGTAGGGAGGGTCCTAACATGTTCAGAGGGTCCACCTCAGGCTCACCAGCCTCTGGCTGCTGGTGTCCAAATCACAAGGCCCAACCTATTGCTAAACCCAGGGGTGACGTCTCAGTTCTCATCTTATTGACCCAGCCCATCAAGCTCCCCTTCAGACACAGCCCTCCTCTCAGCCCCGGTATCTCCTTTCTGGTCTCCTTTGCTGGTCCCACCTTCTCTCCTTGGTGTCAGAATGCTGAAGGGCCACAGGGCTCAGGCTCTGAACCTCTTTGTCTACCCTCATGTCCCTGAGGATCTCATGGTTTTAAATAACCCTAGACAACAATGGCTCCCAGGCTTACTCTCCAGCCTGGCCCTCTCCCTGAATCCTGACACACATACGGCGCTTACTCGGCACTTCCACATGGACATCTAACATGCACATCAAACTCAACCTCTCCAAACTGAATGCTTCATCTCGCCCACCAACCTGCCGCACCCACAGCCATTGCCATCTTGGCAGGTGACAGCATTAGCCCCCGTTGGTCAGGTAGCTTCTCTGACTTCTTTCTTCCTCTCATCCTTCACTCAAGCCATCAGCCAGTCGTGGTGGCTGTCCCTTTAAAATCCATCAGGGATGCAGCCCTGCTTTCTATCACCTGGTCCCTGCCTCATCACCTCTGGCCTGGATGACAGAAACAGCTCAACCTGGGCTCCCAGCTCCCCCCTGCCATGTCCCACCCTCTCAGCCTTTCCCAGCAGCCAGAGTGACCCTGCGGAAGCACAAGTCAGACATCGCCATTCTCTGCTCAAATCCCATGGGCTCCTCTTTTCACAGGGAAATAAAGCTGAAGAGTCTTACCTACTGTGGCCCCCAGTGGCTCTGTATCCTTGTTCCTCTACTGCCCCCTGGTTCGCTTGGCTCTGACCTCCTTGCTGTTCCCCACCCCAGGCCCCTTGCACTGCTCTCACTTCGGCTAGAAGATGCTCTTCCTGGGGATACTTGCATGCAGGGCTGGCTCCTTCGCCACCTTCTCAGAGATCCTGCACCAGCCATCCTGTTGAACGCGCCCTGAAGTTTCACTCGCCACACATCTCAACTCCCAATCAACTATACAATTTTCTTATTTTGTTTATTGTCTCTCTCCCAGGACTAGAATCTAAGCGGTGATTTTTGCCCATGTTGTTTGTGGCTGGAGTTTACCTAACAGTGGGTGCTCAGGGGCTGCCTGTTGAGTGAGTGGACGAATCCCTCTTGGTTCCTGATCTGATGGGTAACCCTTCTCTGGTCACCGTGGAGTACTTGTCCTATTCCCTTTCCAAGGGAAAGACCTAAACTGATCTTGGCTGGATCTCACCCATTGTCCCCAAATAGGAGCCATTGTCTTTTCTTTCCCAGGCTCTTAACTTTTTTTGCCTACGGGATTTTTTTCCACTGGGATTTACATACACTGAAGGCTCCAGTTTTAGGAAACCACTTTTTAACCTCAGACCCCACCTGGCAGCCCTTTCTCTCTTCTTCCTCCTTTCTAGCCTGTCTTCTCGGAAGACTTGGCTGCACTCATGTTCTCCACTTCTTTATCAGTCCCCTTTCATCCTGCTTATGCCCCACCCCAAACTACCCCCAGCAAAGTCCCCCATAGTGGGAGCTCCACTATTGTGAAATCCAACTTACAGGGCTTTGGGGTCCTCCCTGGCTCCTCACTGCTCCAAGGGACACTTCCTCTCCCTGCCCCTCCACCTGTTCCATCTCGGCCATCCAGTATTCTAGCAGCTATTTTGAGGGGTGCTCAATATAAACCACAAATCATTTGGCACTTGAGCATTCTACATGTGCTAAACCTGTTAAGCTCACATGATCCTCTGAGCCAAGCAGTATTATTGGCCCCCATTTTTCTGAGGAGAAAACTGAAGACTACAGAGATTAAGTTGCAAGCACGTGGCCACACATTGCATCAGAGGATGGGGACCAGTCTGTGTGTCCATGAGCACAACAGATCCCCAGATAGATATCCAGGCTTGTGGCTTTTATTCTGCAAATTTGGACTCGGAATATGCCCACAGTTCTTCACTTGCTCTCTGTGACAGGGGACTGTGCGTTTATAGTCCTTCTCACCAGAGTAGGTGGGGCACCCCTGCCTGTCCCATTGATGGAGGTTTGGCCGTGAGACTTGCTTGGACCAGTGGAAACACTTGAATGTGTTGCGAGCAGAGGGTTCAGGTGGACTTGCAGGTTTGGCCTGTCACTCATGCTAGATTGCCATGAAAGGAATTATTTCAGATGGTGCTGCCCCTTCAGCCCGAGTCCCTGGTTGAGGGCACATGGAACACACCTGGAGCCAACCTATAGCCTGGAGCCCAGCCTGGCCAATCCCATGGGAGCCCAGCCCACCTTAAACCTGCAGGGCCCAGCCAACCCATAGGCTCATGAGCAAGAAAGTAGAGGCCACAGGCCACTAAGATCTGAAAGGTTTGTTATACAGAATTATTGTGGCTGAGATCCTGCTCTATACCTGACTATATCTGAGAACAGGTGTTTGTGTGCCTGTGAACCACATGCCCAATACTCATGCACCTAGCAGGTGCTACTGTACCCTCCTCTGACCAGGGCCTATGCTAGGGATTAGGAAATGTATCAGTCACCACGGTCTCTGCCTTCAATGACCTCTTTTTGTCTCAGAGAAGAAGAGACACATTCATAGATGTCTACATTATAAGGCAAACTATCTAGAGGCAGGCAGTGAACAGGTGGAAGGTGTGGGAGGTCTGACTTTCATGCAGCAGACACTAGGTCAAAGGTGCCATTTTAACTAGGCTGGAGCATGGGATGGGCAAGAGTTGACCCACGGAAGGGGAGATGGTACTTCTAGGGGCCTCTGGAGCAAGAGCAAGGTGGGAGAGAGCTGCCATATGCATGGGAGTGGAAAATAAGTCCATGTGGCTGGAGGACATGAGGGCATGTTAAAAAAAAGCCAGAAATGAGTCCTTTGACATCCAACCATGAAAGGGCTTGAGTGGCAGGTTCAGGGTGGATTTTACTACAAGCGCCTCCACTGCAGAGTTGTGAGCTGGGGACTGGGATCATCAGATTAGTGGCATAGAAAGACCACTCTGTGTCAGAGTGGAAGGTGGACTGGGGGACCCACAGAGGGGAGGAGACTCAGGGAGGTGCTGGTGACCTGGTAGCATGAGGTGGCAGCAGGTAGCTGAGTCAGGCTGTGGTGGCACCAGACCCAAACTGCAGGGATACCCAGGGTTCTGCTTTTCTTTCATCCTCCCAGAGAGTTTTGGCTTTGCCAGTGGGACTCAGGAGTAGAATAGTTGCTCCCTGGAGACCAGGAGGGGTGGAGGGCACGGCTGACCAATGGTGCCTCAGTACTGCAGAGCCAGGGCCAGTGTGTCTCATAGTGGAGCCTGGTGATTAGTGAAGGGGCCACGGGTGGGCCCTGGGATGCAGAGACTGCAGACAAGAAGATAGTGTTTCCGTTGCACCCCCACCAGCTAGCCAAGGCAAACCCCGAAGGGAGGACATGCCCCTCCTGTTTCCATCCAGCCACAGGTACTTTGGGTTCTGGGGCTCATTTCCATGCCAGAATTTTTGCTTCCAGAGACCTTGGGTTCTTGTCCTCACAAACCTAGGGGTCACGGAAGGACTGGTCGAACTGGTGTCAGTGGCGGGGGTACTATTAACCATCCTGAGGCCACACAACTCATTGTCCAGCACCCATGCTTGTTCAGCACTCTGTGTCCACTGTCTCTGACATCCCAACAGCCCTAAGAGGAGGGTACCATCATTGCACCAGTGGAAGAGTGGAGGAAAGCAGAACCCAGAGAGCACTTCACCCAGGCAGCACAGGAGTGTACAGTGTCAGACCTGCTGCAGCTGATGGCCTGCCACTCACCAGGCAGCCATGTCTGCAGCCTGCCTAGGTGAGGGGACAGGGCGCTCACCTGTGCTGCATGAGGCCAGCCCCTCACTCCCTCCCCTAAGCAGACTGCTCTTCACTTTAGACTCTGCCTGAAGTCCTCTCAGATCAGGGAGAATCCAGGACTATATAAGGGCGGGGTGTGTGGTATGGGGGGACCAGGATGGCAGGTGGGGAGTGGGTTGGGGGAGAAGGATCTGCACCTCCCAGAGTAGCAGCCAGCAGGGCCTCCTGGCGGGAAGCAGGTCAGCTCAGAACCAAGCTATCTCATGCTCCTCTCAGTACTCGGACCAGATTCCTGCTCCTGGTGACAGAGGCGACTCAGGAATTCTAGTTCTTGGGGAAGGCATTGCCATCAACATCCTGGGAATGTCTGACCTCACACACCACCCCAGCAGCAGCCAAGTCCCAAGGCCCTTTCCTGCCTGGGCCTGGCACAGGGTCCTGGGCTGCCCTGGTTCCGCAGTGGAAGGCACTCCTGTTTTCCACCCGTCTCGAGACTCTTCCAACTCACCCCAGAACCCAGGAAGATAACAGAGCAGCACACGATCCCCGTGATTGTTATTAACTCCATTTTACAGGAAAGAAAACTGAGGTTCAGAGGAGTTGTCCAGGGCCACTACAGAGCCATGGTCCTAATTGCCAGTCATTTCTGGCTCTAGGCTTGGAGGAACCTCCCCTGCTGTTGTGTCCCCTGTTCTCTTGGAAGATAAAAATTGAGAAATAAAGTGGTGTAATCAGGAAAATGGAGCTGAAACCAGGGAGTTCAACAGAGGAAAAGGTAAGGAGTCAAAAGGTGTTAGAGCAGCTGAATGGCCAGATGGGGACGGTGCAGGAACTCAGAGATGAACACAGTGGGAAGCCACCAGAGAG